CACTTTAACAACTACCATGTCAGACTACACAGAGAAGCCATCCAAGTCTACAAGCATGTGGACAATTTCAACAGAAAGGAGGAAACCATGAAAATGAACAGTAAATAAAGAACAACACTCAGAAAACAGGGAAATTCCAGACATGAAACAATCATGGCCAGCAAACACCTCCCAACAAAGGATTCCCCAAGGCAGAAAGAAGTCTGGCTTTGAAGCTGCAAGGCTATTAAATGCTAATCAAGGTCATCAATTGCAACCAGTCCTTGGACTACCAGGAACACAAGCCTACTGGAAAAGGTGAACACATCCTCCCTCAGCCATTAATGCTTGTGGAAGGTATGACCTGCCTAGGGACCACACACATTTTCTTCTGCCACTATGAGAAAATTGCAGTTGTCTCCTTCCCTGATGAGTAGATTAAACAGTTAAGAAGGAGGCAGTGGCTCTTTTTAGTTCCAAGATAGCTCACAGCCTCCATCAGGCACTAAATCACTTTGATCCCCAGTCACTAAATGGTTGAGGGCACCCACGTTTGCCCTTTGGAGAAGGCAGCAAAGGGGAAACAATGTGCAAGGAGCTACTGAACATCTCCTTGCACAATGATCACAAAAGAAGCCTTGATCACTAAGAAGATTTGGCACAATCTTTAGTTTTATGTGTAATTGGTATGACAACAATGTTCTACATCCACCTGAATGAGATCTATGAAGAAGTAAACCTCTGACAAATATCTTTTCCCTTCTTAAGTACAGAAATGCCTCACTAGCTTTCCTTTATTTGTTTGCAAAACTTCCCAATCATCAAGTTAATTTTAAGCACAATCTCTTTTGAGAGCGGTCCACGAATGATCTTTTTATCTCTTAATGAGTCATGAGCTTCATGATTCAGTTCAGCTTATACAGAAAATCCATGGCTGAATTTGCAGGAAGTGTAAAAAAAATGTGGAAATCATTTGTAACACCATTTTATCAACACTACTAGTGCTTTACTCCCTGGATTTAAAAAAAAACACTTCTTTTCAACCCAGAAATGTCACAAATTTTGAGTGTATGCAACTAAACCATTTCCCTTAACATTATATATAATTTAATTCTAGTCTACCCATTGCCATTTTCAGTTTTACAGTGTGATATTTCTCAGACATATCCAAAAACAGCCTTTTCTCCTCATCTTCCTTGATTCTATTGAGAACAGCTTATGTGGCATTAAAGTCTATTACATTCATTATACATTTCAGCACCCTTCAAATCCCCATCTGAAGTTTGAAATACCATTCTGGTATTGCATGAATTGTTCATCTTCACGTCTTCAGTAACATATTTAAAACTTGTTCTTGTTTCTCATGACTATCTCAGTTAAAATACTAAATGTTATATAGTAGAGGGTTGTCATCCACGGAACACTGCAAGCACAGAATCAAAAGGTCATGATGATTACGTATTAAAACAAACACTTTTACTCGAGACAGATGTGGGCCTGGTTGTTTTTTACCCCACTGTTTGATGAACAGCCAATTATGCATTCTCAAGGGAGTGCTGCAAAAACCAGTTTTTTATATAATAGCTCTGTGGCTGCCACCATTTGTTTTAACAAGAACATCTGAATATTGAAGTTTAAAAGATTTATATTTAAAAACACAGATAAACATTTCTGTAAATGAAGCAACCCATCACTTTCCCTTTGTAATGTGATTCCCCACCATCTTCTTTTCGTGTCAGAAGCAACTTGAGAAACTGCAAATTGCTTCTGGTGTGAGAGGATTGGCCATCAGCAAGGACATTGCCCAGGGGACGCCCAGATGTGTTACCATCCTGTGGGAGGCTTCTCTCATAGGAAGCAGGAGCTGATAGATGGGAGCTCACCCCCTCTCACAGATTCAAACTGCTGGCCTTTAGGTCAGCACTTCAGATGGAACAAGGGTTTAACCATGTCCCAGAAGCATTCTCTCCTGACGTTTTGCCTGCATCTATGGCAGGCATCCTCAGAGGTTGTGAGATCTGTTGGAAACTAGGAAAATTGGGTTTATATATTTGTGGAATGTCCAGGATGGGAGAAAGAACTCTTGTATGTTGTCTGTTGGAGCTAGGTGGGAATGTTTCAATTGGCCACCTTGATTAGCACTGAATGGCCTAGCAGTTTTCAAGATGTGGCTTCTTACTGCCTGGGGGAATCCTTTGTTGAGAGGTGATTAGCTGTCCCTGATTGTTCCTTGTCTGGAATTCCCGTTTTTGAAAGTTGTTCTTTATTTACTGTTACGATTTTAGATATTTTTAATACTGGTAGCCAGATTTTGTTCATTTTCATGGTTTCTGCCTTTCTGTTGAAATTGTCCACATGCTCGTGGATTTCAATGGCTTCTCTGTGTAGCCTGACATGGTAATTGTTAGAATGGTCCAGCATTTCTATGTTCACAGATAATATGCTGTGTCTAGGTTGGTTAATCAGGTGCTCTGCCATTGCTGACTTCTTTGGCTGAAGTTGCCTGCAGTGCCTTGAATGTCCCTTGATTTGTGCAATACTGCATTTGGTGGTCCCTATGAAAACTTGTCCACGGCTGCATGGTATATGGTAGACTTCTGCAGAAGTGAGAGGATCCTTCTTGTCCTTTGCTGAATGTAGCATTTGTTGGATTCTTTTACTGAATCTCAGGGCCTTAGTAAAAAAAACAGTGTCGATGGGCCTTAGTAAAAAAAACAGTGTCGATCCAGGAAATCTGAAATTTGCCCACTCTTTTCCTATGAAATGATCATTGATCTGGTAGCCTCAAAGTAATTGCTCTGTGCATATAATTACTTTGGAGCTATCAGTCAGTTTTTAATTGTACAAAATGCACAAGGTTGTGGGTGAACTACAACTCACTTCATGCCAGGTTAACCCCGAAAAACTCCATCAGTATTTAAAGTTTGTTTTGTTGGGCAAGTTTGCTCTAGATACATCATTGGATTTCAGTGTGATCTCTGATTATGGGTGAACTACAACTCCCAGAAAGGAAGGTCAGTTCCCTACAAATCAGATTTTGGCAATCAGGTCTGTGTGCCAAGTTTGGTCCAGATGCATCATTGTTCGGGTTCATAGTGCACTCTGGATGTAGGTGAACGACAACTCCTATAAATCCCTCCAAAGACCTCCAGTATTTTTGTTGGTCATGGGGGTTCTGTGTGCCAAGTTAGTTCAAGGTCTGTCAATGGTGGAGTTCAGAGTGCTCTTAGATTGCAGGTGAAGTGTATATACCAGTACCTACAACTCATATAAATCATGGTGAAGTCTTCCCAAACCTCTCTAGTATGTTCAGTTGCTGATCAATTCCTCTGTTTGCTATATTCCATAATCTTTTCCTATTCTTTCCTGAATAGGAAAAGATTAAGGGAAGGGCAGTGGGTGGGGTCATGCAAATTCCAAATTCCGAACCAATGGAGAGAGTCAGAAACACTGGGATGTTTGTGGTGGAGGAAACACATAAAATCTAGAATGAAATTGTCCCCCCATGAAAGCCTTCACTTGAGTGGTGGGAAGCATGTTGTGTGTGCAGAGAACATTGATAGGGCTCTTGCACATGTTCTTGGTGCTCACTATAACCAGCAATGTCATTGGAGGGAGGGCCTTTGGTGTCTCCTGAGTAGTGGGAGCTGTAGCTGTTTGTGGAGGCAGGAACTTTGTGCAAGTGGACAGCCCAGCCACATACATACATACATATTTTCACTTTTATTATGCGTATAGGTATAGATGTAGAACTAGTTTTGGAGGTAGGATTCTGTGCCTTGGACAATACACATGGTTTCATTACACTTCTGAGATAAAAGCCACTTGCCCCCAAAGGAGCTCACAGCACTTCCATACAAAAAGGTACTTCTGGTTACCTCAAAACTTCCATAATGTTAGCAATATCTTTTTAGGGAAGGGAGCGTTTTAATCCTGTTATTTTTACGTAACAGGAATTAAAACAAAAATCTTGCCAATCCACTCAAGGTAACCCAGAGGCTAACCATCAAATCCAAATCTGCTTTATGTCAACTCTTTTGCAGAAACTTTTAAAAAAATCTTAAATGAATCTAAGTAAAAATAGCAACTTTATTTTCCTTGGGAATATTAGGAAAAACCTGTCTGCAATCATTTACAGGATTCAAGCCTCATATCTTCCTTTCACATCAACCTCAGAAGACCTTCATTGTCTCACCAAGGACAGCTTCATGACATTATATAAATACTTAGTAAACCAACAGATGTACTCTGTGAATACCTAAGAGAACTCATTCTGAAAAACTTTATAATCAACCTGCCACCATCCCAATTATCCCTGCAGCCATTTTCCTGAATACTTACGGAACTCATGTATAAAGTGAAATTGGTCCTAAACTAAACACATTGTAATACACAAATGCAAAACTAAACACAACACACAGAATTTTGCTTCATCGACATGTGGATGAAGGATGAGTTTAGCAATCTATTCTATAGGATAATATTTGTACTGACAAAGAAATGTGCATAGCAAATTGTTATAAGCCTTTCCAAATCGAAAATATTCATTTGTTTTAATTCTATAGAATGTGAAGTGAGATTCTCTATTTCTAGTTATTAGTGTTAAAGATCATAGTAAGTATCTATCAAACTCCAGTTATTCCTAATGGCAATAGAACCACAAAGAATATTTCATGCATATGTGAGTTGGATCTAGACGTGCTCTTCTACAAAAAGAAGAGCTCCTTCTGTTCAAAGAAATGACTCATATTCAATTGAGGTTTCTGCTGGGTGAACTGGGGAAGGCAATTATTGTCAATTTATCTTCCCCTCACAGTCCCCGATTCCACTTCCAAACAGTCCTTCAATGCTATTGAGCAGATTTAATAAAGATGTAAATATGTGAAAATCTTCCTCCCTTCCTTTCCATCTATGGGACTCCACTCCATATAACTCTGAATGCAACTCAGTAAAATCATGGCACTTTGCAGAAAATTATGCAGCCGGAAACAGTATATTAAAACGAATCCTCTGATACTTACAGCCGATCATCATCATGGCAACAGCAAAGATCTTCTCTCCATCTGTGGTGGGTGCAATGTTCCCAAAACCAACGCTTGTTAGACTTGTCATTGTAAAGTATAATGAAGAAATATAAACTGAATCTTTGCTTGGTCCTCCTTCCCATTTTCCAGTTGTCATGTTCAACTGATAAGGTGATCCTATAGACTCCCCCAGCTGATAGAGCCAACTTTCATTTCTTATGGTTGTTTTATCCTCATTGACAACTTCATAATCTCCAATACTGTACCAAATGCAGGCCAGCCAGTGGGCTGCGAGACCAAAGACGCAAACCAACAGAACTAAAACCGCTGCTCCATACTCAATATAATGGTCCAGTTTCCGAGCCACACGTCCCAGACGAAGCAGTCGGACTACTTTCAGTGAGCTGAACAGACTGCTGATGCCCTAGAAGAACAAAACAAAAACAACTAATTAGTATTTGGCATTAAATTATTTCACAATGCCTATCAAGAATAACAAGAAAGTTCACAAAAGTCTCATCATATATCCAAAATCAACTGCCTTGCAGATAAAGTGCATTATTTATCTAAAGCCAGATTGATCCCTTGGCCCATTGCTCGAATGAGCAGAAAGATTTATGACCAGTTGAGAGAAAGCAATTGTGTTTCAAGTCCCATTAACTATGATAACTGGAGAGGCAATGGAAATGTCTCATTGATTAAAATAGATTTATGAATTGAAATTATCGCTTTACAGGGGCAGAAATATCAGCCAAATGTTGGGAAATTTCTCCAGAATGTTATATACATAGATGAAGTCTTAATAGTGCTGCAAGTTAAAGAGAATGCATGAGTTGTCCATAGTTTTGCAGGAACTGCATTTTTGTTATTGAAGTATCCTAAGATTTGATATGGAAAACATACCTGCTCTTTCTTTTCCTTCATTTTTAAATCATTGATTACATTTCATTAATTTTCTCAATTCTGTAACTCTATGGTAGTATTTTGGCCAGTATATAAGATAAATATTATTTCCTGGAATTAATAATAATAATAATAACAACAACAACAACAACAACAGCAATAACAACAACAACAATAACTTTATTTGTATACCCCGCCTCCATCTCCCCCGAGGGACTTGAGGTGGCTTACAAAGGGACAAGCCCTTTAGCATCAAAACAAAACCAAATAAAAACATATCACAATAAAACATAACATCATATAAACAGTACCATACAGAATAATAAAAGTGGTCTGGGTTTGTGTAAATTAATATTGTTTCCCACCAACACAGCTCGCCCATGGATACTTAAAGTCAAAGTTATACATACTAACTTCCCAGAACTCTCTGCTTCAAAGAAGAAACAGAATGTAATCTGTAGAAATGCTGGGCATGCATTGCTGTAGCAGTTGGTGGATTGGTTGGATTGCAAACTGAGTCTCAGAGAAAATGATGATGATGATGATGATGATGATGATGATGATGATGATGATGATGATGGAGCTATGAAAGGTGTTAAATCCTATTCCCAAAACATGTTCAGCACTTTAAAATTGAAATTAAAGCGCAGACGGGATTCAACATCCAGAGACACAGGAACTGCCTGCTGCTACTCATAGATTGTTACTTTGATTTTTCACTACTTTACTCCAAAGAAAGAAACAGCAATCCAACAACAACAATTATAACAGGAAAGCACTTGTTTAAAAAAATCAGGTACTGACTATATAATCAATATTATTGATGTTAGCAGACACTTAAGCACAATCAGAGATTAAGTCCCTCAGTAAGAGACTTCTTTCCTATTTGCCAGACTATCACGCATCCTCTTTTATTCTCAGTGATCATTTAGTCTATAAATGACTTCAACGGAACAGAGATGTGCCTTAAAGTCAGGAAAATGGTTCCATGAAACTCCTAAGCAGATGCCCACAGAAACAAGCTGTCCTGTCTATACTTAATAGGGAAATGCACAAATTGGTAATTATTCTAATCAATTCTGCCACTCTCCTCTGTCTCTATATACTCTGGACTTGGTCATGCCCAAAGCTGGTGTGAAAGCTTTAAAGCCCTTCTCAAATGGGGATCCAAACCCTTCTCCATCCCAGACCTAAATGAAGTGGGTGGTGTGAAGCAAAATCACCAACTAACAGTGACCCTTGTATAGTTTTGTCTCAAAAATAGAAATATTGCTCCCTAAGGAACAGGACAAGACAGTGGCCCCTCATTATTCCACATACAGAAGTCATTTCTAGAGTAGCATTCTCTCTTGCACCTAAAGCAGGGGTCCTCAAACTTTTTAAACAGAGGGCCAGGTCACAGTCCCTCAAACTGTTAAGATTATAATTTGGAAAAAAAGTGAATTACTATGCACTCTGCACATATCTTATTTCTAGTGCAAAAAACCCACTTAAAAACAATACAATATTTAAAATGAAGAACAATGTCAACAAATATACACTTATTAGTATTTCATTGGGAAGTGTGGGCCTGCTTTTGGCTGATGAGATAGGGTTGTTGTTGTTGTTGTTGTTGCTATGTGCTTTCAAGTAATTTCAGACTTATGTTGACCCTGAGCGAGGGCCGGGTAAATGACCTTGGAGGGCTGTATCCGGCCCTCGGGCCTTAGTTTGGTGACCCCTGACCTAAAGCACTAAACTAGTTTAGGGGCTCCAGGACAAGACCTATGTCATGCCCAGTTCTATCTTCTGAAATGCAGATCAGTCAGAGATTTCTGGCCTGAGTAACATACAAACTAAGTTTGATAGAAGTATGCAAGCTTTCAAACTTCAGAGAACCCTCCCTCAAGCTGGAAAAAAGGAAGCAATATTTCAGATGTATATACAGACAGAACTTACTGGAATTCAACTGACCAAAAATCAGCCAGGCAGATGCACTCCAAAAAATAAGCTGTTTTGATGGTGAGCTTTGAATAAAGCTGAACAACAGGTGCATTTACATACACATACACACACACACACCCTCAATAATGGGCATTTTGCCAGTATTTGGTTTTCACAAAGAGGATATCAACACCAGTTGTGGTGTCTGAGAAACGGAACTCATCAAGTCAGATCTTCATTTAAACAATTGCCTAGTACTGTGATTAATGTTAATTCTCATGCATGGCTTTTGCAAATGTTATCCAGACTTCCTTTTAAGACAAGAAAGGAGAAGCCTGAAAGGGAGTAGTGAGGTGGGGGAAAGTGGTCTCCAGTGAGCAATCAGCCATTCTTATGCATGAACATGCGGAGAGGAAGGAAGGTTCATTTGCAATTCTAAATGTTCCTGAGTTGCATGGATAAAAGTTCTCCTTTGGCACCTTTGGTATTATATAAAATACATCACACACTGCGATCCAAATGCACAGTTTCGTTGTACTGCAAAAATGCTGTAGACTGTACATACAGGTACTTTAAAAATTATTTGGAAATTTCATGTAGCCCAGATCATTCCAAAGAGCTGAGGAATATCTTTGTGAACTAAAGGAGGTCCAAAAGGTTGCAGCAAGCCTGCTGCTTCCTGCTAGTGACAAGGAACATGTAGCTCCTCTATTGAAACAGCTTCACTGACTCCTGTTTTATGGATAGGCATGACATTAATGTGCATATATGTGCACATATGGACATTAAAAGTACATACATGTGCCACACCATCATGACAATGACGAAATAATTCATTTAGTTTTTAGCAGCTTCCACAATCAGATATTATCAGAGCTTAGATGTACTGTAATTGGCGATGTATAACTAGCTACTTGCAATTAACTCTTTTAAAACCAGTATGTATCAACTGTACCTGAATTAAGGAAAGCTTCCTTCCTTTTTTGGCACAATGATATTTAAAGTAAGTGATTTTTCATAATTCCACTATAGTCTCAGGAAAATACTGGGAGAAAAATCACATACAATACAGTACTATTATCTGCATGATACCTTCAATTTCATTTATTCACATCCAAAAAATATGTCATATCTGGGCATTTTCTAGGTCCTCCAGTGTACCTCTATGGTATTCTTAGGCCTGAGTTCATGCATTTCGATAGTTTACTATTATCCGTTATTTTGTGTATGTATGTATGTATGTATGTATGTATGTATGTACGTATGTGTATATATGTATATATATATATATATATATATATATATATATATATATATATATATATGCACGATGTCTGGGAATGTATCCCCCAGGGGTCATACTGTAGTTCAAATTCAGCCACATGGCACATCATTATCATACGGTACGAAAAACACCATCAATAGAGGGGAAGTGGTAGGAAACATATTGGGTGACTTACATATTGGTTAACTTATAAGTAATCTTGATAGGTCTTGATGCATCGAAGATTTAAGCAATATATAGTAGTTACTATTTAGGGATGTTTTTAACAGAAGGAAACTCAGCCTACTTGAGAACATGATATGAATACACTGTAATAGTAATGCTTATATCCACAAGTAAATTAAGTTTAAAGTCTTTTTAATGACTATTTTTAAACAAATTATTGCACAATTGTGGTCATTAGCTTTATGGAAAAGTTTGTTCAGTCATGCTTAAATATCATTTCCTCCAACATTTTAGTTTAGACTTATAACTAATGTAGTGGAAAATTTCACTATTTTGGTAATATGTATTTTTCATATTATCACATGTCTCCAGAAAAAAGAGAAATGCTTCATTTTGCATTTTAATTCATGTATTTATCATAATTACATTTCATCAGGTTTTTAAAAAACCATATGCAGCTTCTGTTGGATGCTTAAACAAACCATAAAAACCTCTAGGGCCCTGGTTAATTGAGCACAAGAGGAAGAAAACAATGAGTCAGTAAAGCAGGGTAATTTGTAGATATTCAGAAAAATGGCCTACAATGATAAGAAATATGCTGTTCTAACTAAGTAAATAAATGCATACGCCTCTCCCACTATATTAGTCACTTTGGTGAAACAAGCAGGATAGGAATTTATGCCAAAAATCTCATTACGGAAAGTAAATAAATGCTAATGAGAAGCAAATTAGGAATATCCTTATACTCAGAACCCCCAAAATGTTTTTAAGGTGAAAGGGTCCAACCAACATGGGAAGGCAGATTAAATTTGATTAATTGCAGGAACATTTGCTGAATTAAAACAGTTATCAATATGCTGAATTAAAACAGTTATCAATACCATCATCATGCAGTAAAAGCTGGCAAAAAGTGCTGTGGAAGCAATCTGTATAAATAAAAATGTAATGTTTGTTTGTGGGATTAACATAACTCAAAAACAACTGGATGAATTGACACCAAATTTGGACCCAATACACATATCAAGCCAATGAGTGACCACTATTCATAAAAAACACTGAAAAACACAGCAGAAGAGACTTAAAAAGCCAAAAAAAAAACATTACAACGCATGCACAAAACCACATATATACATAAACACACATATATA